GAGTGATCAATAGTTATTCTAGGGTAAATCCTTTTGGATTTTCCCATATTTCCAGGTAACTCTAGTCTCTCTGAACCAGAATTGACTCAACGGTGGCGAGTTGGAGATGTGAGAGTCTTGAGCCCCTGCACTCACATCCTAAGTGGCTTCTAAGGCCATGCACTTTCATTGCTTCATGTGCCCTTTCTGGAGGTAGCCTTGCCACATTATATTCTACTAAGAAGGCACCAATTCTTGTCTCCAAGCAGTGGGACTCACAATTTCTCTGAAAAGTTATTTCTGTTCTGTTTTATTCTTATGAATCAACATCCATGTTCTCTAATCAGTTGAAAACCAAACGAAAGAAGACATGCTTACCACACAGAACCACACACAGATGCACAGACAACACACATAGGAATACCGCTCTGCAGGTCTTCATTAAGCAAGCTGCATGCACTGAGCCCAGGCAACGCTAGATGGGCCTCTGTTCTGTTCATTTGGAACGGTACTTTGTGTGCCTTTTGGTCTAAGCCTCTTGGGACAATGCCCGTGTGTTGTTTGGCTGGCATCATTTCATCTATGGTGGAGGGGCAGGTACAGCTAAGGGGCTGAAGCAGTGACTTGGTCTTACGTGGGGTTAGGAAAAGGTGACCTAAAATCAGCTGATGAGCACAATGGATGCAAACCACATAAACAGACGATCTTTGCACACGAGCCTCCTGGGAAAGATCTGAGGAGATAATTAGGAGTAGTAGCATAGTCATGCAACCAGTCCTGACTAATATCTGTGGCAAATTTTAAACTTAGCTCTCCACGGAATAAAACAAACCACGGGATTTTCTATTCACAGAACAGAACGTTGACTCATAGAAAATGCCACACGATTTCATAGAACCCTGTTTACATAAGTGATAATGGTTCAGAGCCTTATTTTCTATACTAATAAAAAGCCTGCTTTGGTTTTAAGATGCTATCAGAAATGAAAAATGATACTATGCTAGGTATTGCTCGAGATTCCTAGCAAGCAGCCTATAGACCTTTCTGATGTACACAGGCTCGAGTGTGAGAAAACGTACAGTCACAACTTACAGCACTGCATTTTAGGGGCCTCTTGTGATATGTCATGGTGTAAATCATTTAAGAATGACAAACACACAAGTTGCTTACCTGCTTTTCCTCAGAGCTGCCAGAATCTGCAGGGTGTTTAACCTTGAAATAGAAAAGATGGGAATCAGGATGGGATTGTGTCCCGAGGACATGGGGGCCCGCAGTTCATGGTTTCTGAGGTGCAGTGGTACTCACTGGAAGGGCGTAGGCGATGCCTAACAGGCAACAGCAAAGCACTGCAGCCCTCATGGTGGGTTTTCCTGCAAATGATTTATTTTAGGAACTTTAGATATTCTCATAGGTTTAGACAGGGATGCCTATTTATGCTACCACCTTAGACAAGAATCACCAATGCAGTTTGTTTTCTGTAGAACGTTTTCTGCTTTGCAGAGAAATCTGTTCTTTTGAATAATACTATGCTCTTTTGAATTAATATTTGCCAATACCACCTCTATTCTCCATCTCTCCTGACTAAGCAAGGGAGGCCTAAACGTCACAAATCTATAGCCTATTTTTAAATCGTGAGCTCCAGAGATGATGTCTTTACCACTCGATAGCTCCACTTGTTTTAGCCTAAAGGTAAGATCAGTAATCGTCCGATTAATCGATTGAACTGGTATAGAGATTTTTATCTTTTCAGAAGATAAAAACAAATAGGAGAGAAAATAAAATGATGTAAGAAAGTATTCTCTATCTCTCCAGGATGGATTCCAAATACCATGTTTCAATTATGAAGGGGCCACTTAAAGAAATGGAGCCAACCTTTAAAGTGACTTATACCCCTTAGGAAACTAGTCTAGACATTTGAAATGACTGAAAAAAAAACACCACTGTAAGCAACTTTTCTCTATTGTGATAATTAGCATCCTGATGAAAGATTTCACAGCAAAATACAAATGTCCAACATTGAGAAAGAAGTTTCCCCACCCCTTGAAATTAGAATGGATTGAACCATCATAAATACAATAGCATTAGCAGTAAGTGCCCTTTTCCAATACCTAGACAATCATCTATTAATAAGTATGTGGTTCTGATCATTCCAAAGGGGTATGGGACCGTACTTTTCCTTTTTCTGATTTGAAGCAGTGGTTTCAGCTCTTCTAAGAACCCAATGGAAGGATTTAAAATTTTTTATTTACAACAGGCTTTTCAGCATAGCGGCTCATCTTTCTTCCAGTTTTACAATGCATCTAGCATGCTTATTCAAAAGGCTATTAAGAATTTAAGGCTGGACCAACTTCCTGGCAGTTCCAGCTAGTCAGTGAAATTCAATGCAGACAGTCGGGCATAGCAATAGAGGAGCAAACTGCAGACTCACCTTGGCTGGTGTCTGTCTGAGAAGGCTGCCACCGGTGGGAGGAGAGATGCTGCTGCACTCCCGGCCTCCTCTTCTGCTTGCTGACAATCCGGAGCTCCCAGAATTTAAATGCTGCTCCCGGAGTGCTCCACCAACACAGCGAGGTGGAGAGATGCGTCATGAGGTTTGTGCCCAACCCACCTGCGCCCACACTTCCTCTTCTGGTTTTGTGGTTTGCAAACGAAAGCAAACAAAACAAAAACAGCACACACACACAAACTGCTCCTCAGTTAAAACATTACTTATGTGCAATGTCATTAGCCTGCCCTTTCCTATAGGGATCTGGCAGGCAGCACCATGGAAGATTACTTAAGGGCTGGGTGTGGGTCTCAGTTTTTATAATTAGGGGATAGTAATGGTAATTGTAAATGTTGAAATCCTAGCTTCTTGTTTAGAAGAAGTACCCTGATGAAATGAAATGGTGTGGATTTTTGTTTCATTCCGTTCAAGGAAAAGATAAAGGTAATGTCCGCCAGCAACATTCCCTCCACGATTGTCCTATCAGAGCTGGAAGTTCTAGAGCGTTTAGAGGACAAACCTGCGTCCTTGACTGTTCAAGTGGAGTTTGTGAGTTCAAGGGGGCAGCCGCTTGCTGCCAAATAAGTGGCATTAGAATTCATGGATTTAGCTTTCAAGGGCATAGGACTTTGTTGCATTGTTGACTCTATTTGAATTGGTGGGAAGTGATAAATCTGATAGTTTGCTATATAGGAAGGGAAAATGATCATTTCTTCTGTTGCTGAAGTATTTTATGAATAAGAGCATAGTAGAGATCAGAGTGTGATCTACTCCAAATTTAACTCCATTCTGCCACTGTGTAATTACACTGCCAGCTGTGTAATCTTGAGCAAATCATTTAACCTACCACCTCATCTTTAAGATGGAGGGATTGTTATTTTGCTCATAGGACTTTTGAGAGTTTTGAATGAATATTTATTTGTAAAACTAATCATGCTGGGCACATATTAAGCACTACATAAATGTTAACTATTAGCCAACATTTTTTTTTACTGCAGTAGGTATTTATGATTTGCAATATCTTTATGTGCAATGGATTGTTAGAAATTATAAAAGATCTTTAACCTGTATACACCAATAAGGTTAATTTACTTTTAAATCAATAGATTTACTTCATTGATTTAAGAAATTAAAAAAAATGTATAGTTTAAAAAAAAACACACCTTTATTGTGTACATAAGCATGTTTGAATAAAAAGAGAATTGCATGTGGGGTTTGAATATTGGAGTAGAAATCAGAGAGCAGAGCTCAGGGTTTATTTTAAATATTTCATGTGGTGTTGAGGTAATTTCCTTATCTACCTTTACCACCTGTGAAATGAGGATTGCCGATTCAGTTACCTTACAAGTACAATGGAAACATTGAATGTGTGGTAAGATGAAGGATGAATGAAACTATGTATTATTCATTCTAAAGTGTCAGCTGCAATCTACCAAATCTTGTCTTTAATAGAAATCTAGATTTCAAGAATGTCTTGGAACAACAGTAGGATAGCAATTCACTGGGATCAAACCTAGGAACAATTGTGAGGATGACCCAGGACTGAGCATTATTTCCTTCTGTGATAACGTCGTGTCACTATGTGTGGGAGCCAATTAAACCGCATTTAACAAAACTAGCAAAATCCATAGGAATGTTTGGTTGAGAAAATACATGTCTTTTAAATTGGTTACTTTTAAATAAAAGAGATATTTTGTTGATATGGTTGATTTGTGAGTCCTAATCATGCATTTAAATAATTGAGATTCTATTTATCTCAAAAATACCCATCAACGAGGGCAGAATGCTACAAAATAAACTTATTTCTGCTCTTAAAACTTTCCCCACCTCCCATAAATACATTACCCACATAAGTTTGTCAAGATGTCAACAGAGTTCAGGAAATTGCCGAATTCACTAGAGTTTACTCTGTGCCTACGAGAATGATTCAAAATGAGCTTGGGGAATTAGAGGCATAGATTTCTCTGGAGCCCAGCCAGCGTGCGATGAACCTTCAGAGGGCTCTTGT